AGCACCGGTGGGTACTGTAGGTAGGGAAGAACTAGTCACGAGCAGAGAAAGAAAAAGATTCCCATTTGGATCGATGGAAAAACAGTCCTTCTCTGCTCTTCCACCCGTCTCCCCTCGTGCCACCCAGTATGTTTTTCGAATTGCGCCGTTCGAAGTTTGTCTAATTGGGAGACGACGAGGGGAACGGCGGGGGAACGGTGGGACGGATGGAGGAGAGATGGTGTCTAATTGGGGTAAGACGGGGGACGGCGGGATGGGTTTGGAAGATGGTGTGTGAGCAGCACCGGTGGGTACTGTAGGTAGGGAAGAACTAGTCACGAGCAGAGAAAGAAAAAGATTCCCATTTGGATCGATGGAAAAACAGTCCTTCTCTGCTCTTCCACCCGTCTCCCCTCGTGCCACCCACTATGTTTTTCGAATTGCGCCGTTCGAAGTTTGTCTAATTGGGAGACGACGAGGGGAACGGCGGGGGAACGGTGGGACGGATGGAGGAGAGATGGTGTCTAATTGGGGTAAGACGGGGGACGACGGGATGGGTTTGGGAGATGGTGTGTGAGCAGCACCGGTGGGTACTGTAGGTAGGGAAGAACTAGTCACGAGCAGAGAAAGAAAAAGATTCCCATTTGGATCGATGGAAAAACAGTCCTTCTCTGCTCTTCCACCCGTCTCCCCTCGTGCCACCCACTATGTTTTTCGAATTGCGCCGTTCGAAGTTTGTCTAATTGGGAGACGACGAGGGGAACGGCGGGGGAACGGTGGGACGGATGGAGGAGAGATGGTGTCTAATTGGGGTAAGACGGGGGACGACGGGATGGGTTTGGGAGATGGTGTGTGAGCAGCACCGGTGGGTACTGTAGGTAGGGAAGAACTAGTCACGAGCAGAGAAAGAAAAAGATTCCCATTTGGATCGATGGAAAAACAGTCCTTCTCTGCTCTTCCACCCGTCTCCCCTCGTGCCACCCACTATGTTTTTCGAATTGCGCCGTTCGAAGTTTGTCTAATTGGGAGACGACGAGGGGAACGGCGGGGGAACGGTGGGACGGATGGAGGAGAGATGGTGTCTAATTGGGGTAAGACGGGGGACGGCGGGATGGGTTTGGAAGATGGTGTGTGAGCAGCACCGGTGGGTACTGTAGGTAGGGAAGAACTAGTCACGAGCAGAGAAAGAAAAAGATTCCCATTTGGATCGATGGAAAAACAGTCCTTCTCTGCTCTTCCACCCGTCTCCCCTCGTGCCACCCACTATGTTTTTCGAATTGCGCCGTTCGAAGTTTGTCTAATTGGGAGACGACGAGAGGAACGACGGGGGGACGGTGGGACGGATGGAGGAGAGATGGTGTCCAATTGGGGTAAGACGGGGGACGGCGGGATGGGTTTGGAAGATGGTGTGTGAGCAGCACCGGTGGGTACTGTAGGTAGGGAAGAACTAGTCACGAGCAGAGAAAGAAAAAGATTCCCATTTGGATCGATGGAAAAACAGTCCTTCTCTGCTCTTCCACCCGTCTCCCCTCGTGCCACCCACTATGTTTTTCGAATTGCGCCGTTCGAAGTTTGTCTAATTGGGAGACGACGAGGGGAACGGCGGGGGAACGGTGGGACGGATGGAGGAGAGATGGTGTCTAATTGGGGTAAGACGGGGGACGGCGGGATGGGTTTGGAAGATGGTGTGTGAGCAGCACCGGTGGGTACTGTAGGTAGGGAAGAACTAGTCACGAGCAGAGAAAGAAAAAGATTCCCATTTGGATCGATGGAAAGACAGTCCTTCTCTGCTCTTCCACCCGTCTCCTTTCGTGCCACCCAGTATGTTTCTCGAATTGCGCCGTTCGAAGTTTGTCTAATTGGGAGACGACGAGGGGAACGACGGGGGGAAGGTGGGACGGATGGAGGAGAGATGGGGTGTGAGCAGCACGGGTGGGTACTGTAGAGTGAATCAACACTCTAGATGGACACCCTAGACGGAACTTTGAACATCCTAGAATATAGTTTGAATATGAAAATAGATATTTGAAAACTCTAAACGACGATTCGATTAGAAATGTTTCAAACTCCCAGTCGAGAGTTTATAGTTTATGGTTTGGTCTGTGTGGTGAGGGTAGCATATTTATCAGCCAACTTTCTGAAAACTTCATAAAATTGTTTCGAGAACTCAACTAAGCTCAAAAGTATCTGCTTCACGTTGAAGCTAAGTTTTAATAAGCTATTATAAGTTTTAAAAATGGCTAGCGGCTCAAGGAGTTTCTGATGCTCTTAGATTTTTCCCTAAAGAACTGACGGTGTGGTCCACGGCTGCCTAACTACTGCGTGAAAATGTTTTTCTAGTTCCAAAGTTTCAGTAGTTCGATCGAAGGAAAAGCAGACCCCCTCTGCCTTTACACCCGTCTCCCCTCGTGTCACCTTTTATGTTTTTGAGTTGCAACGTTCAAAGTTTGTCTAATTGGGGGACGGCGGGTCGGATGGAAGAGAGATGGAAGAGAGATGGTGTGTGAGCGGCACGGTGGGATACTGTAGAGTGAATCATCACTCTAGATGGACTCCCCAGAATGCACTTTGAACCCCTAGAACATAGTTTGAATTCAAATAATGATAGGACTTCCTCCGTTTTTGAGTATAGTTCTAGAAACCGTAAACCTTGAAAAAATCGGCAAATCTTGACTTAGGCATAATTTTTCTAGTCGCCCCCGCCCCCTTTTTGTCTTGCCTCCCTTTTTTCTCATGCCCCTCAAATTTGGCTTGGGCCCCCTTTTTTGAGGGGAGAGTAAAATTTGTAAAGAGCAGAAATAAGTGGGATTCCCATTTCGTTCGATGGAAAAACAGTCCTTCTCTGCTCTCGCACCCGTCTCCCCTTGTGCCACCCAGTATGTTTTTCGAATTGCGCCGTTCGAAGTTTGTCTAATTGGGAGACGACGAGGGGAACGACGGGGGGACTGTGGGACGGATGGAGGAGAGATGGGGTGTGAGCGACACGGGTGGGTACTGTAGAGTGAATCATCACCCTAGATGGGCACCCTAAAATAGTTTGAATATAATGCATCCTATAATGATAGAACACCCCGGTTTTGAGCATAACTTAAGAATGAGAGAAGACATCGAAAATCTGCAAACGCCATTCGATTTGAAATTCAAAAATACATTTGGACAGAGGTTATTGATTTGGTCCGGCAATCAGATGAACTGAAAAATAAGGGAACTTTGACCGTCAAAAACAGATAGCACACGTTTTGTTAACTGCTCATTTTGGAAGTTTCTGGGTTTTTGTAAATGAACTTTTTTGAGAAGTAAGTTATATTACATGTGAGCAAGAATGGATTTTCAACACCGTAGCTTAATTATGAAGGAACTTCTAATCCAAACAAGATGTGTAATAAATTCCACGACTCACTCCTAGTAAAAATTCCCAGTTTTTGCACCCTTTCAATTCCAAATGTCATCTCATTTCTTGTATTACCAATTCTTACTGTAATGGTGGGAATCATTCCCAATTTAAAAAGCAGTAGCCCTGGTGAACGTGTCAACATACCTTTAAGGTTTATGTGTTCGTCTGTCTGTTTTGGACTTTTTTTGAGTACCTATGTCAGATGGGTGTCGGATGGCGGTGCGTAAGAAAACTGTCGGAAACAGGGTTGCTCTTTCTTTTGTTAAAGACATTCTGGGATGAGTATGATTTGACGACCTAGCGGCTCGATAAGCTTTTGGGTGGCTCCAAAAGAACGGACGGTATAGTCCACGTCAACCTAGTGGAGGTCCCGGCCGCGGTCATGCGCGGCTTCGCTTCCGAGGATTATTTCTCGGAATTGACCATACAAAGAAATAGCTCTAATTTCGATACGACAAGAATTTTGTAGAGTTACAATGTTATTTTCATTGAATAATAACAAGTTAATAATAAATTGGTTCCCGGCTCCGCAGTTTACAAGCATTCAATTCATACATGTACAAAAATAATTTTCAGAACATCGACAATCTTCCACGCCCCATCGATCTGGACACTGTACTTCTGGGAACACCACAGGGATGTGTGTATGCTATCAACAAAGACGAGCACATTCATTCGAGACTTCGACAATACTGCAAAGTGTTCGAAGCTCGAAACTTCGAACGATTGGATGGCAAGCAGAAAGAATTTGTTCGCGTGGGCGAAACCTTTGCATTGCTCATTCTCCCAAAGTACATCCACGATGGGACTTATTTGCGTCGCGCCAGAGTTGTCGCAAAAAGAAGAGAATTCACCGTCTTCTTGGAACTGGACACAGGATCGGTAAGAAAAATAATGTGTCTAGCTATTTTGAATTTAAAATTTTCAGATTCAGTGGATAGACTGGCAATCGGAAATCATGCACCCTGATAGTGCTAGTTTGAGCGAGCTGCTCGAGGAGCCATCATGCATCTCACGTTACCGTTTTCATATCAAAACGGTATGGATTATTCGAAAAAAAAACTATTCTGACTAACTTATTTTAGGGTATCCCCCAACTGCTCGCCGTCGCAAAAAAGAACGAGGTCAACTTTCTCTATCACGAACGTGTTCACGGTGGATGGCTTCCGATGATTGAAGAAATGAGAGATGACGGGAGAAACTTGTTCCGCACAGGACCAATGTGGTCTCCTGAGTATGCTTAGATACGCAGATACTTTGTTCCAATTCATTCACTCCTGATTTCAGTTACCATTGCAGTAGAACCCCCACCCCCTCTCTCTTTTCCTCTCTCTCTCTTTTCCTCTCTCTCTCTCTCTCTCTCTCTCTCTCTCTCTCTCTCTCTCTCTCTCTCTCTCTCTCTCTCTCTCTCTCTTTTTCTGAACCAACCTTGAGCCCTTGCATCTTGTTATCTGCAACACATATCAAGAAGTGGTCAACTGACAAAATGTTTATTATAACATCAAAAATATTTTGTCTGTTGGCTTCTTTTGGATATCTTCAACAGAAAACGAGATAAATTGATTCAAAGTTTGAATTAATGGGGACACTCTATTAGAGTGGTTACGGTATGTTCTTCCTTAAAATCTCTCCTAAAAGAGTATTTTTCTCATCGCACCTGCTCGGTTTCTTTTTTTTTCTACACCTGTGACCGTCATCCTTCTTCACAGAAAAAAAGTAATATCAAAACATAATTGTCCACCTGCCCTATGTTTTATTGCTGCTTTTTTCCCAATGACCTAGTTGAAGACAAATACTTGTGGTTTAAATTTTTTGTTATAAAAATAATTGAATTTGGAAACTTTTGAAATAAATAAAAATAATTCCGTTTTTCAAATGCTTTTTCTTGTATAGGTAAGCCAACTGGCACTGGAAAATCTGAGGGAATGAGCTGGGGACCAATGAAGTGTACAAAAGGTACAAAGTGGTTTAGGGTTATAAAACCAACAATTTTAGAGCTTATCGTTCAATTTTCTATACTTTCTCAATCGGCATTCTGTCTGAGAGCTGTTTTTGGGTCGGTTTTTGCTAGAGACGCAGCCAAACAACAAGATTTCAAAATTATATAGGTTAAAATCGGATTTCAGGAAAAGTATATTTTCTAGAGATACTACCAGTTGTGTTTCAAGAAACATTCTAGATTTGGGTAAGAAAATCTGACTTGCACTTAAAAAATTTGCTGTAGAGCGAATTTTTACCTTTTTCAAATTTTTTATTTTCACAAGTTCATTTTTCAAAGATTTATTAAGAAAATTATAGAATAAACTATCACATTTTGGAACAAATATATTACAAAAGTTAGCGAATTTTAGAAAAGATGAAGTCCCATGTTGAGGCAAGCGACTTTGCCGTATTTGACAGTGTTGACGATGACGCGAGTGTTGAGTCTAGTGATGGGGACACGACTTTCAGTGGTCTGACAAAGTTGCTCGATGAGTGGAGACGATTCCTTGCGAATGTACATGTTGACCTTGGCGTTCATGTTGGCGGCAGCGGCAGAGAAAAGAGCTCTGAAGTTTTAGGTTTTAGATTTTCGAAAAAAAAAAGGCTCGACTCTCTTACTTGTGAGCGTTCTCATTTTCTCCATAGCACTGAAGAATGTTATCCTTAGTGTTGACGATGTATCCAGTGATTTGTCCATTCTCCTTGGCAACTTTAGCGGAGACCTGGAAATATGAATTTTGCGCAAGGCTCTCAAAAACAGGTTATGATAGAACTCACCCCTCCGGTCTTGAGAAGAGCGGCCAAAAAGTCTTCTCTGTTATAGATGGACACTTCAGCATCGTAATCCAAAACATCGGCGATTTTCTCGGGGTTGACATCCTCAACAACAACTTCGGCGTTGTCAGTGGCGAATGAGAGAAGCTCGAATCTAAAAAACCAATATTGAAAACTGAAAAAACTACAAAAGGGCACCTGTTGACAGTGATGCGCTCGAAAAGATGCTTATCGCCAACAACAAATCCGACGGTATCTCTCCACGAGGCAAAGTTTGAGTATCTGAAGAAATCGGTTTTAGAGATTGGGTCATTTGCGCTTTTCTCACTTTTCAAAGTCCACAGTAATGTTTTTGGAGATGTCCATGTCGACGAGTCCGACGCTCTTGTTGATAAGAAGGTCCAGGAGGTGGAGGTGGACTGGTCTGAAGAATAGAAACTTTGTTGGGAAGGTGAGAAGGTATTAACTACTTTTCTTCACGGTTTCTGAAGGTCTGCTCGAAATGGCATTCTCCAGAATAATCGATTAGTGGGACCGCCTTAGTGATCTGAAATTAGCACTTGTTGATTAACTACAGTGCTGATCAATAAAGATATAGAAAAATTAATTTTCGGTTGATTTTTGACCATTTCGACCATTTTCAGGAGTCTGATGCTTGGCTGTCAAGTTTCCGTCCACCTTGAAAACTTTGGATCGGTGCAGAATTTTTTGTAAATGTCTAGTTTTTTAGCTATTCGCAGGTTTCTGGAAGACACTGCCTGTTGGCACGTTTTCGTACAAAAAACGTGAAGGTCTTACAGAAATCGGCAACTAGCTAACAAACTAGGAACTTTCGAAAAGTTCTGCCAGTGCTAACTATAAGTTTTCAATCTAAGTCTGTTTTATCCCCTCGATAATTTTCAAAGTGATTGAAAACTTGACAATCGAGCTTCAGACTCCTGGATATTGTCAAAATCGCCGAAAATCAATTGAAAAACATTTTTTGGCATTTACTATTGGTCGTTTCTGTATCTGGCTTCAATTTTTAGTTGTTAATTTGCCCTTACCTTGTAAACGTAGTTCAGCTTGTTCTCCACAGAAGCCTCCTCAATCCAGACGGTCTTATCCTCGAACTTCTTATCAATCTCTCCCAACATAACATAAGCTTGTCGCTCATTGCACTTCACAATGGATCCGAAAGCCACTGGTTGCTCATCATGAGTGAAAGTGACAGTCATGGCGTTGGTATGGCTCATGAACTCGGCATTGTTGTTGACTGGGAGCAGAGAGTCTCCAAGAGCTTGGTATGGAAGCGTCTTGTTGACAATATCGACGAGAGCGGTGGAGTGAAGCATGATTCTAAAATAGAAAGAGGAAATTTTTATGAAAATTGAAATTGGAAGTGTGACACCGTGAGAAGCGCCGAAGTGAAGACTGTTGAAGTGCGAATGGATGACCTAGTGGATGTGTGGAAGGCGGGGTTTCTCTCGCTAGAAGCCTAGATCATATCGTGGCCGGATTCAGATGAAAGCAGAACATTTTGGCCATCATCGATAACAATCAGTCCCAGTTTCGTCTTTGTAGCATCTCCTTTTCCATTAAAAAGGGGGTATTCAGGTCAAAAGGTGCGATATCCATCGCAATTACGTTCTTATGTTCGGCAAAGCCCCAAATCAAGACTGGGAGGCGTGGGAAGCAGCCGCGGATAGTAACGAAAATGGCTGAAACCGGGTTTTTATGGAAAATTATAAAACGAATAACTGAAGATTTGCGTTTTACAATGTTCTGTGTGTAGCTTTGTCTTATGGACAGGTTGTAATGAAGATTTTGAGAAAGATAGGATCTGAAACGAATTCTAGCCAACAAATTACAAAAAATTAAACAGTGATGTCTGTAAAATATTTAAGAAAAAATTTGAAAATGAAGAAAATGTAGTATACAATTCGCATGATTACATAAATTTCAACTTTGAGCCAATCTATCTCAGTTCCTGTGGAAGATATTCAGAAATGGTCAACTGGCAAAACATTCTTGATTTCATTATATAAATTTTAATAGTTGATCATTTTTTAATAATTTTCTCCCAAAACAAGATACAGTATCGGTCTATAAATGTACAAAACTTTTTTTTTAAAGTTACTTTTTAGCAATTTTTGACTACTTTCAGAAGTCCGGAGCTCGGAAGTCAAGTAACCGTTAGATTTGAAAACTTTGCAGTGTGTGAAACAAGCCTAAATTAAATACTTTGCATTTACAGAGTTTTTTGAAAATTTCTAGTTTCTCTGTTATTTGCCTATTTCTGAAAGACACCTATGGTTCACGTTTTTAGTATAAAAACAGGCCAACAAGGTCATCTTTCAGAAACCGGCAAGTAATTTAGAAGCTAGGAGTTTTTCAGAAAATTTGGTCATGTAAAGTTTTTTATTGAAACCTTGACAATCGAGCCCCAGACTCATGAAAATGATCAAGTTAGCCGAAAAATAACTGAAAAATACGTTTTTAATCAGTTTTCAGTTAGCGTGTTTTTACTAAAATTCTGGAAATATGTAATTCTGAAATTTCTTTTTAAATTTTTTATTTTATTTTTTAATTTTTGAGAACAATTCTTTTGAAAATACAGTAATCTCAAAACGTGAGAAACTTTGGAAATTGTAACAGTCTACCGTAACTTAAAATTTTCTACAGTTTTTCAAATTCTTGAGCTTCTTTTTTTTGGAAAATCTCTCATCGGACACTCTGAAAATTGCGAAATTCCCTCCGAGACTTTTTTCAATTTCAAATTCATTAAAAAATCAAAACAAGACAGTAAAAGTCTTTATCCCAATAAATATATGGCAAGGCAACAAATTAAAATATAGTTTCATTTTTTTTATTCATTAGAAATCTTGTTGAACTATCAAAAAACATAGTCTCTAAGTTACCCGGATACCAATCGTATTATCGTGTTTTTTCATGCAAACTGGATGAAGGAAGAGTTTCGAGGGGACAAAAGAAAATGAACTGGACGGAGAACCATACCTGCAAATGAGGAAGGTGAAGACACTAAGGGAGCAAACTGGGGCGTTTGGAAAATGCATATACATGGGCTTCTATTGAAATCTTGTGACTCCTTTGGGAAATCTCATTGAGACAAAATAATGATGCTGAAAAAATTGGAAAACAAACAACTAGAATTTCAATGGAGATTTCTCGAGATCTTGATTAAAACATGGAAATGTACGGAGAGAGAGAGAGTATGAGAGGAAAAGAGAAGGCGAGTAATTTAAATACAAGGAAGAATATCTAAAGTCCAACTATGATCAACTGGTCTATCAGGTCATTGGTATGGTTGAAGATATGATTGAAGTCGAAGACTCGTTTGATGAATGACGCCGCTTTCTGAAAATTATTTATTTTAAATTTCCAAACAGTTCCTTTGGGGTTTAAAGCTTACACTCAATGTCGCTGACATCATTAGGAGATTCGAGAAAATGGTCTGTGCATCCCGTCCTCGTTCGGAAGATAAATAGCCGAACATTTGAGTCAGCAGCCGCATTCTTTCGCCTTCAATTGTCTTTTTTCCTAGTGAGGAGAGTCCATCGGCATCTGAAAAAAGCAATTTTAGTATTGGGTTAGTCGGGGTTTTTGCAGGAGTGCCATTTTCAAAAGTCAAGGAACAAAGTTGGAAAAAGAGAGAAAAAGAGTATAAAGAATAACGAAATTCCCAGCATAATTTTGTCTTCTTTTTTTCTCTGACGTCACACTTCTCCTCCTGTCTTATCGGATTTTTTTCTTCCTTCTTTTTTCCCTAGCATCATCAACATCATCAATTCTAACCTGGATTATGGAAGAGAAGAAGCTTGTAGAGTACAAATGTTGATTCTTTGATCTTGAGCTGCCGCATCATCTTGTAGCATCCGTCAATTAACATCGCGTGCATCTCCTCCCTGGAAACCCCCGTATTGAGAAAGTGATCTTCAGACTAGCCTACGAAGATTGCAAAAAAAAGGAAGCTCACCATGAATTCGTCGGCTTGTCACCCTTTTCAATAAACGAGCCGTCCGGATAATTGAGACGCTCTGGGATTGGTCTCGGTGTGCAGTCGGGCTCCATTTCTAGACGAAATTGGTTTTTTTCAATGTTAGATCTTTTCGGACTCACTTATTACAATGTCGCAATCAAATTCATTTTTTGTGTAGAATGCTAATTGAATAAGCGGAAATATTGGGGCAAAAGCTTTCATCAGTGCCAGCTGAAAAAAAAAGGAGAATTGGGTTGATTGAATTTGAGGTCATAGAACGAAAATGTAGATGTTTCAGACTTTAAGCGGTTTTCCACAAAATTGAAGTTGAATTGAGGAAATGAGCAGAAAACTAGGAAAAAAAAATTAATGTCTGTTTGATTCCCAAACTACCGTAACCCATTTGATAAAACGAATTCTCGATTTTTGCCCTTTGAGCTCATTTGCTAACTGATACAATATTAGTGATAATACGATTAATAATTCATCAGTTGTCAAAATTTTAATACTTTATACAGGAATCGAGATAAATGCGTTTAATGTTGAAGTGCCGAACTCAATTATCTCGGTTTCTTCAAAAGGTATTAAGAAATTTTTAACTGGAAAATTATTTATCATCTTATCAACAGTATTTTATCAATTGACAGATTTCTTATAATAGGAATCGAGATACTTGAGCTAAAAGTTTATAATAAGTGAAATTGTGCGAAAAAAACGTGAAAATCAATAACTCATTTAAATGTTTTGAAATTTTAAAACAAGATAGATTGCATTGAAAATATCGCGTGATTCCCAATTTTTTCTCTAACTCTCACCTTATCATTCAACAGTAATCCTTCCATAATCGGCAGACACTTGCCCCATTCCAACATCAACGACAAATCCCTTCCAAACCATTCTCTCAACTTTGCTACTGTACACTCGAACGGTTCTGCCGGTTGCTCATGCGGCGCCGAGTTCTCTGCCATATACGTGATGTCATCGAGTAAACAGCTGAAAGTAGACTATGTGTTCGAAAATGTATTTTTCATCTGGTGAAGACACCCTTCTCTGGTCTTGCATTCTTTTTTTCGCCTAAGCTAGTTTGGACCTCAAGCTTTTCAGCTAGAGCCTGTTGACGTTCTAAAAACGTCTAATCTTATTAACTAGAAGAGACGGAAGTGCATGGATCATAAAAAAGGCGGAAGAAAATTTAGTCTGAGTCAATAACAAATAGTGCTCACGAAAAATATAAACTTTTCCAGGAAACTGAACCATTTTTATGTATTTATGAATTTTTGAACTAACAACTGACAAAACATACCTTGAGTACATGCAAGACGTCGCCGAGATATGAGATTCGAACCGAAATGAGTTCCTAAGTGACTTCACTTTCGACTCTATCCGTAGTAAATCTTCTATCACTGCTTTTACATCGTTCTGAAAAGAAGATTTGGATTTTTGTATATTTTAAAGCTTGGTGTCAGCTTCCAACCTGTGTTTCAGGGTCCATTGATGAGTGATGGTCCTGTTCAATCATAAAATGAAGCATTGTGCTGGATGATGGAGTTGATGTGTTAATGTAGGTGTCCGAAGCGATACTTTGCGGACTTCCAATCTCCTCCTTGATGACCACTTCTTTTAACCGTTTTTCTTCTTCCCGCTTTTTCTTGAGCGCTTTTGTGTACCGGATTTTGTCTCGATCATGTTGGATGGCTTAAAAAACCATTAACTTAGAAATGTTTGCTTTTTCACCCCTTCCCTGAAAATCGGTTCCATCTGTTTTCATTGCCCAAGGCAGAAAACCAATACCTTGGCAAAAAAGAACCAATAAAAGTGAATGGACTGCGTGACGTTTATCGTTCAGAAGCAAAGATCGTTTCAAAAGTTAGGAGAAAAAATAAGAAAAAAACAGTCCCTTTTTTTCACATTCCAAAGGTTCAACTAACCGAAAAATTGAAAAAGGAAATTCAATTATTTTATAATGTCACTCAATCAGAAACTTATGACAAAGTTGAAGTTATAATTCAATCTAGAAGGTGGCGTAAACATTTCCAGGATTGAATTTTACTGAAAAAAAAAACGACCTACCCTTTGGGTCCATTCCCATGTCGAAGCATTTTTTCAGTCGACAACTTCGACAAACGCATCGGACGGCTGGAATGATAAGAATGGGATACTGTCGCATATCAGGCATGGGACTTACACTTTCCTACTACGCAATCTCCAGTAAATTGGCATGTGAATGTTTGCTTGTTCTGGAAATAGTTTATTGGCTTTTCAGATTTTTTTCAGACTTCTCTCTTGAATACTCATTTTTCAGACCTATGAATCATCATTTTGCCCCCAATTTTAGGCTCAACCCGGTCTATTTTGTCTCATGTTTCAAGCTTCCGTGTCTCAGGACCCTTCTGGCAAATTTGATACATTTGAAGCGGAACAATGCTTTTTTCTTGCGCATCGTCGACAATTTCTTCATGTTTCTCTTTTTTTCTTTTTTTTTCCAAGCCGGGCAAAATGAGGTCCCTTTTTTCTACACTCGAAACATCTTTTGAGCAAATAGAAACCGAGTTCTAAAGCACGTGAGCCGAGCAGAAAGAAGATGTTTTAGGAGAACAGGCAAGAACTTTTTTTTTGGGAATTACACTTCTTGACAGCTTCCATACATGACTTAGTGATGTGCCACTGTCTTTTTTGTGATCTTTTTTTTATTTTCCCATTCTCTGAATTTTTATTTGGAAGGTCCCAAGGAAGGAAGAGGATGTAGAAAAAAATGCCATCTCACACAAACACACACACAACGCTTGATTTCTCTCTTTTTAAGGATGAATGCCTCAGATGCACAGCTCGTTAATCTTGACCTCGCGATTCAAGAGCAATATCGAGGGCAAACTACATTTTCTCAGCTTTTTCAGAATAGAAAGACTTACAACCAGAGCCCGTCGGAAGAATGTCTTGCAGCCGTTGCAGCTTGCTACCGAATAATGAATACCGCTTGCCAGATCGCTGCATACCACACAAAGCGTACCTTCCGGGATTTTTTCCCTTTCTGAAAAAATTTAGTTTGAAATAAATTCGGTTTGGTAACAATATACCCTGAAATCTGTAATAAATGTGTACCACTATTCGTTTTCTGCCACTAATATGAAAAAAATCAACTAATCTGACATTTTTGATAGTATGATAAACAATTTATCAGTTTAATTTTATCATATCTTTGACAGAAATTGAGATAATTTGCTCAAAGTGGAAAATCAGTGCGCCCTTCTATTGGAGTTAACATGGCGAAACGTTGTTTTCAAAGACTACCGAATATTATCTTTGACAGGATTATCTCAATCTGTTTGAGGTGTCTAAAATCTGTAAACTGGAAAAAAACTGGTGGTATAATGACAAACATTTTATCAGTAGACAAGTTTTAAGAATCTTCTATACTAATGGAGATGATTGATCCGAAAGTGAAGATATTCAATGGAAAATCAGAACTTCTTGAAATCGAATTTGTTTTGATAATTTTGAACAGTTAAAAATGAATTAAAAAAGTCAGAAGTCTAATTATTTTATTCAAATCAAAAATTTCAATATTTGTAATACATAGGGTTTTCGAATCTTGACTTTAAAATTTAGTTACGATCAATCTAATTATCAAGACTATCATGCTAAAGATGTATTTTTGAAATTTAAACATTCTTAATTTTGAAAAATCTCAAAACTATTTTATGACTGAAAATCACATTTACCGTAAACCCCCTTGTAACAGTCCACCTTTCACTCAACTTTGAGCTTAATTATTTCAGTTTCGATAAAAGATATAAAAAACCGGTCAACTGATAAAATGTTAGCCATACGAACATTTCATAAGTTGACAGATTTTGGTATCTTTTACAGAAATTGAGATAACTGAGCTCAAAGTGCATGAGATGAGACTGTTTACGATATTCATCCAATTCAAAAAAGTTTTCAGGCTATTTTCGCTCATTTGTTTTTTTTTTGTGAGAACCATAATCTTGTTTGTATGCTCGAAACCAAACAGATATGCGTCATGCTTCTTAATGAATAATATTATTTGCTTGTGTCTCCTATATTTTTTTCACAAGAATAGCAGGTGTTCTTCCTGGTTCCGGATAGAAGTTCTAGTTTTCGATTCAACGATCATTAAATCGAATGACCTTTCTATTTTGATGCCCCAAAAAAAAATTCAGAATTCTTTACTTGCTTACTCTGAGGGCCTCTTACCCAAAGTGTTCCTATATGCAGCTCGTGTCTATATGTGTTTTCAGTCTACACATCTTCCTAGAACTAAGATCACATAGTCGGGGTACTCACTCTTGTTTTTGATGGATGGTAGCTCGTGGTACATTATCATCGATACGGGCGGTACGAGCATCATTGGTACACGAGTACAGTAATTTCTAAAAGTTGTGACCTTTCGAAAAGTGCAAAGAAGTTTTTTTCGAGAAAAGAAAACGAAACGAAGAAAAAAGGACGAAGAGAAGGAAACATTTTGGAGGGTCCGGAAACTTCTGAGAGACGATTGGTGAGAGCAAATAATTTGGAGTCGGAAGTAGAGATAGGAAGAAAAAAGGCTGAGAGTTCGGAGGTTTGGGTTTGAAAAAAAAAGAGGTGAGAGATCGTTTGGAATGAAACTCGACACAACTGGGGTCTCGAAGAGAAGGAAGAGTGATAGAAGTAGGAAGAAAAAAATGCATTGGGGCTCTGGGGCCTAGAACCAGCTACTTTGTGTGTATGTGTATGTATCAGCTCCGTGGAAAAAAGAGAATTGAAGAAGAAGAGAAGGAAAAACTGGCGTGTATGTGTCTTTTGCGTTTCCTGCCCAGAAAAAGGGCGGAGTCGGCGAGTCCCTCCCGAAGACGGAGAAAAAAGAGAAAAGAGAATTGACGGCGCCCTCTCTCTCTGTCTCCGGCACGTAGGCCGGCCCAAATTGCTTGGGCACGAGGCGCAAAAAAGTTCTGACCGAGAATGGAGTTGCTGCTTGAGAGCGCATTGCGTGGCCAAGGACTACTATTCATCGTTAGAAGGTGTGGTCGAGAGAAACAAAAAATTATCTGCAGTGGAAAATAAAACGGAAGGAACGAAAGACTTCATGGGTGGGGGGGGGACGGTGGTGATAAAGGAAAATTGGAGAAGACAGGACTGTAGGCGTTCAAAGATTGAGACGGCAACCAAAAAAAATATATTGGAGGTCATATGAATGAATCCTAGGGGTGGAAAGGGAGACTAACTTATATCAAATTGAGATTTGTGATGCCGAACATGTTACAAATTGATTTGACAGAGAAAGATGAGTCAGAATTGTTGGGTTTACTCTAATTGAGGTATTTGGGCTATTTTGATACTTATAAATAATTTTGTATAATAATAGCAACATAAGATGATTCAGAAAATAGAGTATTCCATTTTTCGAAATTTCCAGTTTATTCTAAAATCTCTGACATAGTCAACTGTGTCCCAATTTTTTGTTTATTTCTTCAAATGATATAAAACAGTGGTCAACCGGCAGAACGCATTGAAAATAATTTTTATTTTTATTTTTGTAATTTTTCTGTGAAATTGGCTTAAAGTTCTAGGTGCAACTCTATTAGACATTTTACAATATTAGGAAATAATTCCAAAAAATGTCCAAATAGCTGGAAAATGCCCGAATATCTGAAAAATAAGAGTTTTATACAGTTTTGCAGTTTTTTTTTTTATATCTCTGAATCGAATTAAATCTTCCAATGCTTAACCTTTCAAAACTCTAAGTCAGAGTACAAGCTCCATACTTCTTTTTTTAGGTTCAACGACACTTTAAACGGGCCGGCTTAACTTTGAAAATATAATCAATGGAGAAAGTAACGTTCCCAACCTTTTCACTATTAAAAAAACACTTACAGAAAAAAAAAACTGAACCTAAGCTATATTTTTCAAAACAGCGAAAAAAATGAACTGAAAAAAATACGAAGAACAAAAGGATTCTAGTGTACTCAAAAAAGCGGAGAAAGAAAAAGAAAGTTTCGATTGCAAACTTTTGAAAATCGAACAGTTGAAGAGAGTTTGATTAGAAAACTATACAGATAGAAACCCATTTTTTCTCAATACTCACGCAAAAAACTTGTTTGGCCAAGAACTGTGCTCACAAAAAAACTTTGGTCAATTTTCATCAACACAAAGAGCAAGAAGAAAAAGAAGAAAGAATAACCGAAAAGTTAGGCAAAAGAGAAGAAAAAACTTGACTCCGTGGGGAAAAATAGACGATACTCTTCCTCGTCGCGTGGTGCAGATGATGGGAGCCAATTCAAGGAACTTCTTACCAAATGAAGCCGTCATATTCAGAAAGCCGAGGAGTGGAAGGAAGCGAGAAAGCGGAAAAAGGAAAAAAAATCTTTGAAAAAAAGGAAGCGATTTATTCTCACAAAGTCACCACTTATAGTCGTCTTATGGTTCAATGGGCTAAGCTTTTTTTTTTCGAAAGTTGAGTCAGAGAAAAAAGAATGCGAAAAAGAATAGAAAACAAAACTTGAGTAGGAAGCCTGATAACCTAATTTTTGGTAGACAAAGTATAGCTCGTAAAATGTACCTGAGCTCAAAACTGACGCTGTTCGACATTTCAAACAAATATAACATCTTCTTGTTTCAGCTGCTTCTTCTGACTTCAAAATAATATATATGAGTCTCAAATAGCTGAAAATATGAAAAATAGCTCCAGACAAGAGATTGTACTTGGAACACAATTCTGAGAAATTCGGGGGTGTTAAAAATGACCAGGACTAAGCGGAGGATTAGAATAATGATGAACTTGAGCTTAAAATGAAGAAGATCATGACGCAAAGAGCCGCGGGGCTGAAACAAGGGATTCCACGCCAATACAACTGATTTGTCGTTATTCTGAGTCAAACGTGACTTTGTCTAGAAAGTTCCTGGTCAATATGTAGGTGATGTGTTAACTAGAAAAGAATTGGGATTGATTTTCTATTCATCTTTTGAACATTCTAGTTTAGTTATGAGCATTTTTGTGCTTTCATCCTACCAAATGTATTTGAAGAAGAAGAAAAACAGAAAAAATGAAAAGAGATAGGAATGGGAAAAAAATAAGAGAAACTGGAAGAATATGAATAGTTGATGTCACTTTCGCGTCCTCCTCAAAATTTCATGATGATGACACCCCCGAAAACTTTTCCTCAGTGTGTAAAAACGAATCGATCAAAAGTAGAAGCACAAAAATTGTCGGGGGCTCAAGTTCAAGTCAGCGCAGGTGAAAACAGCTGACGCCACTCAACCCAAATAGTTTTGAAAGATAGAATGCATGTCCAAGAGGGATATAACCTCGGGAGAAAAGCGATAAGTTTGAAAACAGGTGGTCCGATTGATTTTAAACACACACACACAGAGTGAAGTAGAAGATCTCTCCAACAACATGACTTTGAAGAATAGAATGAAAAGAAAAAAAAAGCGAAAAAAAGAAGAAATAGGGACCCAGCTGTCAGTTTGTCTTTCTTTTTTTTCCACAAGGAAGATCCTAAAAAGAAGAAATGGTGGAGCAAAGAAGAAAAAGAAAAAAAAGCGTTGGGACTAAACATTTGGCACAAAAAAAAGATGTAAGCGGATGGCGGAAGGGACCGAATTGAACTTTTGTCTCTGTGCTCTATGTTGCACTTTTTTTTTCTTTTCTTCCTGGATCGACGGGAATAAATGCGGGAATTCAGGGAAACAAAAAGGTTGGAGCTCATTTTGGAATATATTTACGGGGAAAGGAAAGACTTTTGATCTGGGCGAAAGCCTTATAAAAAAAAAATTATTCCATTTCGATTAGATTTCCAGCATTTCTTGGAAATAGAGCCTTTTGCTTTGATCAAAAGTTTTCGACTTAAAACTAGAAAAAATACAGTAATGACGGAAATGGAGAAAGTTGTGATCTCTACATAATGCTTCTTGTAGTGAAAACTGGTTTAGGTGAGGAACGGTCAGGAGACTACTCGAGAAATTTTTTTGGAAAGAAAAAGTTGAGATGCCGAAATTTCCTTTCCGGTTCGGTCAGAAACTACGGTACTTTAGTTTCATTGGGTCGTTTGGAAAATAATTAAAATTGAATGGAACTGTTGAACACAGTAAGCCAGTTGGGTCAGCACAAAAAATGTTCCTATCCGATCCTGGGTAATTGATTTTTCGTAAATTTGAGATGATTAAATGTAGAGTTTAGATAATTCAAACTTGCATTTTTTGACGAAAAGTGATTTGTAGTGAATGTTTTGAATTGTTTTTTTTTGTGCGAAGAAATGTGATTTCACATAAAAATTTCAATATGAATTATTTCGAAAATTCTTTTCGAAGTGGTGGCAAAAAGTTCGGTGGACGAATATCCAAAATTTTCGTAGCGTTTTTCGTAATCGCTGGCCTTTCCTACAGGAATATTCTTTTTTTCCATCTATTGAAAATATTGTTCATAGATATGTCAAAAAATTGAATTTTCTTAGAAAAACCGATTGAAATCAACAAGAAAAACAAACTGATCTTGATTAAAAAGCTATTTTCGCAGAGGATTTTACAAAAATGTTTCTGTTAATTTCAAAAATTTGAATTTCTAAGAAAAAATCTTATAAGAAAAAATTTTGCTACGATACTCCGCTTTTATGCTAATTTGATTAATTTAAATTTTTTGAAAATTTTCGTCACGCTTCAATTCAGCTTCTGTTAATTAATTTGGCAGACATTCAGCTGAAAATTTTTTCAATTCTTTAAGAATTTCACTAAATTTTACTCAATTGATGAGGATTTCATATTTTGATTTTGGTCTAACTCGAAACTTTCGAAAAAAAACGTTTCGAGTTGGAATCGAAAAGAAGGCATTGCAGAAGAAAACCTCTCAACTTTTATGAGTTTTCCATCGGAAACTATTCTTCCATTTTTTTCCTATTTTTGACGCCCCAAAAGAAAAGCCACTCACTATTATTTGGCATTGCTGGCGCTTACAGAGAATCTCGTCATTCACAATTGCAGTTTAATCCTCAACATGGGCCAAAATAACACAATTCTCGGGAACCTGCAAAATTGAACTTTATCATGAATTTTTTGAAAAAAAAAATTAATGTTGATTAAAAGGAAGATGGAAATGGCGTGGGGAGAAGAAGGAACGGCAAAAAAGGAACTGCAATTCGTGTGAATGGGGTTTTGCAGAATTCTTTTTTTTCGAATTGAGAATTCAAAAATATTAGAAATCACATTTGTCCCACTACATTACTCGTTCCCTCTATTTTTGGAGTTTGTGTTCCTAGACATTTATTTTGTCTGGTATTAATCCTGGGAAATGAAAATGTGAAACATTTTTTCATCAGACAAAAAATGCGGGGAAAAGAATTGCTTTGGAACATGCTGAATAGACGAAAATGACTA